TCGAAGGCCCACACTCTGGCCCTTACCTTCGTGGCCCTGAACACAGCCGTCAGGTCCCCCGGAACGCAGGGGCCTGCCATTCCGCAAACAGCCGAGCAGCCGCAGCTGCGACTGAGAAAGGGCGCCAGTATCTCTAGTTAACGCTCCCGGCTCCCGCAGAGCCACAAGACGTTCAAGATCAGGTGCAAATTTTAACAGTAACTTCTCCTACGAGAGTTCCTCAGTCACCAACCGGGATAGTCCCATGTGCCCTGCAGTGAGCTGGGCAAAACAGTTCTCCACTTCTGGTTCAGCTGTTCTCTTTAAACAAGAGATTTCTAGAGACGTTGAAACCAGAGAAGTATACGCTGGGGCAACAAAGCCAGTGTAACCTGCTTTGAAGGCCTTAAGCTTTACAAAGGCCAGACATCGTATACAGCGGGGTCAGCAGACACAGAGCGGGTCGGCCCAGGGCTGCTTTGTGGATAGAGCTTTACTAGAACACACCCATGCCCTCGCTCATGTGTCACTGCTTTGGCGCTACAACCCCGGAGCTGAATAATTGCAACTGAAACTGTCTGACCCACAAATCCTAAAATATTTACTATCTGGCTCTTCACAGAAAATGCCTGCCAGCTCCTGGGTCACACATATTGATTGTTTCATTCTCCCCAGCTGGAAACAGTGGTGATGGGAGCAGCTGTGGGGTAGAAAGGCCTTCACTCAATGCACTGCGGGGGAAGCTGGCTGGTCCCGCCCCAGGAGGCCATGGGGGTGGCAACTCTCCCCAGATCAAACGCAGGAAGCAGACGCCAGCCCTTGGTTTAGGAGTTTAGGAGGCGTGGAGCACCTGTAGCAGAGCACGTGGTCTCACTTCCCAGCACCCAGCCTGCAGGTGAGCAGTGGAGTCTCGCACAGAACAGTGAAGAGCCCACCTAGGGCAGGCAGCATGCCAGGCACAGGCTTCTTGCGTTACCCAGCGAGCTACCCACCGGCCACGCTCCGGAGGCCTCAGGGTGGATGGGCCCCAGGAAGCTTGCCTGGTTGGTAACTGACTTTCCAAGATTCTTCCAACTCTCAAGAGAGTCAGCAGAAAACCCTGGGAGTGAACTATATTCAGAAGCACAAGTTTTCCAATACAATGTCATTTCAAAATCAAAAGAATCAAGAATGTGACTTGTCCAGAAGACTAGCAGAAAAGCCTCCATCTTCCTTCTCTCCTGCGACAAGTGCTGCTGCATCTGGGATGTACCCCACTGCCCTCCATGCCCAGGGATGACATGGCGGATGTCAGCTCCCGGGCCGGCTTCCTGCCATCAGCGGGCAGGGGGGTGCCCAGAGGATGTGAAAGCATCGCTCCCACCAGCAAACAGCTGTGTCGAGCACAGGCGACAGGGCGTTCGCCTCGGGCAATCCCTCAATATCTCCAAGCCTCCGGGTTTTCACAGCTGCAGAATAAATGGCTTCGATGCAGGACCTCCGTGGCTCCTTTCAACATGAGTATCCTCGCTCTGTAATTACACCTGTGTTGCTCACTGCCTTACTCATAACACAGAAATGGCATGCATCAACAAGTCCTTACTTCACTTCCTCATATCCTTCTCCACCTACTCTCTCATCACAAAATCAGTGACAAATTAGGCAAGATTCCAGAACCAAATGTGTGGCTCTTGAAGCCAGGCTTCTGGAAACTGTCTGCCTGGATGTAGTGGGCAGACAAAAGGAAGTCTTCTAATACTGTGCCTTTCACCATGAAAAAGACTTTCCTTCTGGAGGCTCAGTTCTCAGGTCTGGGTTCAGAACCTCAGCAGGGCCTTGGGAAATGCTGGGAAGGCCGATACCAGCAGCTCTCGGAGGAGCCACTCACCAGTGGTTGCAAAAACAAAGTGTGTGTGCAGGCACATCCTCTGCCCTAAACGTATGGTCAGCAAACAGCGTGCAGGCTTGGTGACCCCATTCTGCTCTCACAGATAAAAAGGAAAGAAGTGAGTGAGGGGAGGAGGGGGGGAACAGTGCATCGGAGGGTCTGGAGCTCATGAACACGAAGTTGTGGGGACACTGCTTGAATCTGGGGCGTTTGTCCAATTCACTGGACCCAGATGAACCCGACAGATGTGACCGGAGCACTGGGCTCCAGGTGGCCCAGAGGGCAGGGGATGACCCTACAGCTGGGAGGGGACAAGAGCCTCCCTGAATGCAAGCCTTTCTACCCAGACCGTCTTCGGCTACAGGACGCCAAGAAGGCCTGCTCTACTATCCTCCTAACCTTCGAGATAAAACAGCTTCTGATGGAACCCAACCCAGTTGGACTCATGACCCAAGATGGGCGTCAGGGGAGCTGCTCTCAAGAATGAATGCAGCTCTGGCCGGTGGTGCTCAGTGGCTAGAGTGTCGGCCTATGGACTGAAGAGTCCCAGGTTCAATTCCAGTCGAGGGCATATGCCTGGGTTGCGGGCTCGGTCACCAGGGGGTGGTGTGCAGGAGGCAGCCGATCAATGATTCTCCTTCATCATTGATGTTTCTAGCTCTCTCTCCCTCCCCCTTCCCCTCTGAAATAAATAAAAATATATTAAAAAGAAAAAGAACGAATACAAAATTTTGCACATCTGTAAGTATGTACATTTTTTTTTCTGGCGAGAAGGCTCATCGCTTTCATTTTTCAAGGAGGGCCATAGATAGAGAATGTGATTTTTAAAAATCCAATATATTACCCTTTTTAATTATGCCTCTACTTAATTATCCAACAGGTATCTAAGGAATTTAAATTTCAAATATTTCCCCCCCAAATTAAGAAAGGTCAAGAGTTGACAGTGAAGTTTGAGAATGCGGCGTGCCTGCTAATGCTTTCACTCTCTCCTGAAAACTCAGAAAGACAGAAGAGATTACATTATGACTGATTACAGCTGACCTGAGGTAGATCCATTCGCATGATCGCAGCTGAAATCAGTTCAGCCGCTGTCAGTAACGGAAGAGGCAATGGAGATGCTGATGGAATACGAGACCAGCAGTCTAGTCTCCAGTCCTCGCTCCCCACCTTGACCTGTGACCTTGGGAGTCCCCCTCCTGTCCTCGGGCCTATCGAAAGCAGGCCACCGAAGCAGAACGATGGCCTGCAAGCACTTTGAAGGCCATGGACACTGTGTATAAAAACCATCTAGAATTCATCAGAAGCTGAAACAAATCCAAAACGGCAGCCTGAACATACGCATGTGTATCCACTTCTAGAAACCCCGTAAGTTATTACCCTTCAATATCTATACTTGCTGAGCATTTACCACATGGGTGTTTTTTTTTTTAATGTTTAAACTGAGATTTCAACCCTGGACATAACAGTCTTCTTTTCTTTTTTAAATATGTTTTTATTGATTTCAGAGGGGAAGGGAAAAAGAGAGAGATAGAAATATCAATGATAGAATCATTGATCAGCTGCCTCCTGCACGCCCCCCACTGGGGATTGAGCCCATTTCACAGATGCAAGAACTGAGTCACCAGTGTGGAAGGCACTTGCCCAAGTCCCCACGGCTAGTAAGTGGCCGAGCCAGGGTGCAGGCCGAGGCAGTCAGGCTGTCTCCTGTGCACACCCGCTCTCAGACCCACAACCAAGGAACAGCGAAGCTCCCAGAGAAAGAGAAGCTGAAGGAGAAGAGATCAGCTAAAATGTCACCCTATTTTGGGAGATGGAAAGCGGACCAATGAGGAGTGTGACTTGGGTGGAGTCTACCGAATGCTGTCCCCCTCGCAGACCCCGTCCCACACTCCACTGCTGCAGACACAGGTCTCCTCTCGCCGCGTGAGCATTAAGGAAGCCCGAAGACAGGCAGGCGGGGAGGAGCGGGCAAACGGGGCACATGCCCGTGACCGGAATCGAACCGGGACCCTCTGGTCCCCAGGCCGACGCTCCATCCACTGAGCCACACGGCCAGGGCCGTTCTTGGCGTTTCCTGTCTGGGTCGGCTGGCCCCGGGCAGACCAGACATTTCTGTCCCGTAGCATTTACAGCGATGAGAAGCGCAGGCCAGGCATCCGGCAAATACCAGACGCGCTCCCGTAATCCTCAGGCTAAGACCGAGAACGAGGATCACCTGTTTTCTGCTGGAAAACTGGTGCTTAGAAAACGGAACCTGCCCCACTAGGTCGCCACGGGGATGGTCGCCACGGGGATGGTCACCCGGGGCCGCTCTCAGCCTTTCCGCTCTGCTGTCTGCAGAGACCTGACTCCAACAAGAAGAAGAAGTTCCCTGAAGCCGTAAAAATAAGAGCAAAGACGCAGCTCCGTGTGGCTCATCGTCCACAGGAGCCGAGGCTACCCGGCCAGAGCCCGGCCGGACCGCGGCTGCACCTGCCCATTT